ATAATAATAATAATAAAAATACCAGATGGCCAGCTTTTCGGAGTGTATTCAACTCTATATTTGTAAAGCACAAATTCGCTCAAATTTTGTTTCTTTAATGTTTTTAATAGCGAGAGTAGGAAAAGATAATTTCAAAGCCTGAAAGCGCTTTCAAATAAGCTGTGGTTTATAAACCAACACTAAAGTGACATCAGCCGCTATCAATCAAAGGAAAAGCCCCGAGGAGCGAGCTAATAAGAGCACGATTGGAATTACGTAACTGGCGCCGAGCGCGGGAAAATGTCGGTAAGCTAGGAGTATTTGGTTTCAGTAATGCTGAATTGGGTGTCGCGAGCAAATCAGTTACGCAAAGGCGAAAACTGCCGAGAAGATTTTGGATTAATTTGGACTGAAAATCAAAAACCACTCTATTTAAAATGAAATTAAGTGAGATTGCCTTGCTTGTTACCTGAAAATTACAAGTTGGATAATCATAAATCTTTGCCGGAAGTTTTTTGAACAATTAACAGTAACGGTGGTGCATTAAATAAGATCAGATCAAGGCTGTCAATGTATGTATTAACTTTTATTGGCAAAACATTTCTTCACACAGCATTTGGTAGGAAAAAACTGCTAATTCAATTGAACTAAATGGTTTGTAATTACTCTCAGCGAAATGTTAAAAAGCACTGCAACTTCTTGTCAAATATCGAAAGGAAAAAAAAAACTTGATCCTCCTTCGAAAACGGCATATAAAAGTTTTACTTGTCGTATGTTCCCTCAGATCCCATTCCAGCAATTTGCCTGCCAAGGCCGAAATTTTGCCCACTCTGCGAGGCCAATTTGTTGGTACCAGCTTGAAGACCGATGTGCCCCTCCCGGCCGGCTTTGACCTGCTCCTCGGTAAAACCTCTTTCATTTTTCTCTGCTATCTTAGGTCCAAGGGCGGGGCCGCCATAACCTTTACTTTGGGCCTGCACAGTGTTCCCAAAAATAATAATATGGAAAAGCATAAAAGAACAATAAAAATAAAAAAAATACTCAAAAAAAATTTTTTTTCCTTTTTTTGTTATTCGTTATTGTTTTTGTTTTCTTTAGCAAAAAAGGGGTAGAATTTGAAGCTATGTAATCGCTGCGTTAGTAGACAGGGAGACTCACCGTACTTCCCAACTGGCATATTGTGTTAACGACCTTAAAAAGAAAAAAAACAGTCATGTCAACGTCACAAATGCAATCTCCCTCTAGAGAGAGGAGGCAACTTTTGGCTGTTGGTCAGTTTCTCCTTCTGTTTGTTGATCTGTGTGTCTTTCAGCAGCATCTAAGCCGCCCCTCAGACTATCAGTGTGTCAGTCTGTTTGTCTTCTGTAATACATTAGAGAAGATTTATGGCCAGCTTTCACTAAAGAAAATACGGCCGGTTTACAAAGAATATCTTGAAAACTAATTACGAATGACAAAATGTTTGTGTTTTTAAAGAGAACAAAAAAAAAATAACTCATTACTCATTGCCCTTTAATTAAAAGGGCTCCTGCTTAAAGCATGACGAATTTTGTGCTCAATACGTTCTTACCGCCATAACGTTCTGTTTCTGGTACAGATATGGGGTCGAAAAATGGTCCTTAACGCCATATTGTTCACAGAAGGATAAAAACTTCTCGATATTTTCTTTCTGTCGAAAGATAACACATGCAAGGAGTCAGTCTATGCGAAAAGGGGGCGAGCGCTGGATCATGCGATTCTTCGGTCAACTTAATCTCCCGCCCCTCCCGCGATTTACTTCACGGTCACTCCGCCTTTTCGCCCCGTCCCCAAAAATGGAGTGTCTGTATCTGTAACATTTATCATGCGCGAATACAGATGGTACTCGTGACTACTCTAATGATGGTGTTGATTCTCCTCTTGGGTTAGAAAAAAAAAAGAGACAAATTTTGTCCTCGAGCCGAGTGGCCCAACCAGTTATCCCGGTTTCCAAGTTACATGAAGCTACAAGGAGTATCACTACTCTATAGCAAGGTAACGAAGTTTAATAGCCCCATATCTTGAGGTTCAAGAGGAAAGCTTCTCTAAAAGTGAGTCCAACGAGAAGAAGCCACTCCAGCTGTACAATAATGCAATTCTTACCTCTTTGGTCGCCCTCATTGCAGGATTTGAGACTTTTGAAGTGTTGTTCATTTTTATTGCTCCAGGTTGAAGTTTGTTGGCGAGTCTGTGTCAAGGAAAGTTAGTATTACTATGACATTACTACCGGCAGGAGCCCATCACTGCTACCGGCACCCTTCTGTACCCTTCTCTTAGAGCGAGGTTGGTTTCTCCTTAAGATAGGGCTACTAAAAAAAAGTTCCTCTGCTTTTAATAATTTATTAATAATTATCTCTTCTATCACAAATATCTCTGCTGAAACGTCGTTAATTAGTTGAAGTATCCCCATCCCTGCAAATTTCCTAAAGCTAAAATAAAAAGAAGTATTTGAAATCTTAGGTTGAATTCACTTTCGGAACCCTGAAGTGAAAGGGCGAAAAAGAACCGTTTGGATCGTCGTCGGACTGTCGCTGCTTCATCTGGTACCCAGGTCTCATTCGGGTTACTGGATAGACAGTTATGTACTGCTTTAATTCGAAAAAGACCGTTCATTGTTTCATTCGTGACGCATGTGACACCTTTTCACGACAGATCACTTTTTATTATACAAACATACTTGCAAAGCACTTCGCCACTCTTCAAACCGTCTGCAAACGAACTTCCGGGAGGGTCATCGCACTCTCCCCACTCTACTGGTTCCTCAACGACGTCCTCGATCCAGTTTCTCGCGTCCAACTCCACGCTCTTGTCATACTTTGCATCAAGCTGGAAAGTGACCATTTTAAGTGTTGCGTTATCGGTATGTGATATAGAGGAAGATAACCTTAACAATGTAAAATTCCGTTGAGGAACAGAAATTTGTTTCCATGACCAAACCATAGGTTATTTAGGGTAATTAAGTATTATAAACTGAGTTGATAACGTAAATTGGCCGCCGTAAAGAGTTTCAAAACTGAAGTTTCGAGCTTCAGCCCTTCGAATTGCTCTGACCGTCCTACTGACGCAGCACCACAGTTTCTTTAGAAACTTACCCCCTTTATTCACATTATTTAGTTTAATCAAATCCACCACCAGATACCCTGGCTCCGATAAGCTGCGCGCAACTAAATATACAGTCAGAGGGCAAGGTTCGAAAACGTTTTTGAACAATTCTATACATTTTTCCACAGCAAGAAATTTTAAATCAATCAATTTTTTGATAAAATGCTGGTAAAAAAAAACATTAAAACAACAAAATAATTTCTAGGCTTATTTTCGAATTCCCAAATCTAAATGACACTGAAATACTAAAGGAAAAAAGTTAATAATGAAAAGGTGACGGAATGATGAAAAGCTTAATTAATGAAAATCAATTTAGTTGTGATCAGTTAATTAAAAGAAAGCTTGTTAATTACACAGCATGTAATCTGACAGTAGTCTACTTCTGTATCGCAGTTCGAAATGCATAATAAAGTTTTGATAAGTCATGGCGTACATCTGGATTTTCCAGTGTTACGGTGTTACTCATTTTTCGATGAAAAAAAAATCCTGCATTACCGTATCGTAGTAATTTCAAATCCTGTGGTAATTTTTATTTGTGCCATCAAAATATAAATTTAAGGTAAAATGAAACTATTTGCACTGTTGCGGTTTCACGTTTAGAGGGCTCTTGTGCAGTGATTAACTTTCTCGTTGTCTTCAAAACTAGATTTTGAGCTGATGTTAGAGGCACAGATTTAAAAATATGCTAAATAGGATTTTAAACAAGGGGTGGGAATTTCATCAGTGACTTGAAATCAATATGTAAGAACGAACAGACAGAGATAATCGACAGTAAATCGACTTGATCTCCAGTATATGCAAGAATGTAATTTGTGATGTCTCCATCTGTGTGTAAATCATGCATGAGTATGAAACGTTTTGACGTGTTATTGTTTTATAAACTTTTCACCCGATGGTTTTCCTTTTTTTCAGGTATTTTTTCGTGGTTTTGCGACATTCGAAACTCCCTAATATCACTTTGTTTTGGAGAATGAGGAGGAGAACTGGTGAGGTAATGTATTAGTGGACGGTAGCTCCAAAGAGAGATCATATTTGGCATGGGAAAGACTGAGTTCTTCAAGGTAAGAAGAAATAGGATGAAAGCGTCTTTACGAGGTAGGGTTCCAGATAAGCTTTTTTGATTTAACATCTAACTTCATTTTTTTGAACAGTACAACGAGAACTAGTCAGTTTCCTAGCGGATCGGATTGAATTCGAATCCACTGTCACAAAACAATGAAAACAAATACCAGATCTGTAATATGTAACTATATAAAATATAACTTTTACCTTCCTTTGGACTTCTGCTGAAAAGCCGTAAGATCTTCCTTTCCCCTCTGCCATGTCTTACGTGTACCTAAAGAGACGCTATTTTTATACGCGTTTTGCCAGGAGTTATCGTTCAGCTTTCAACAGGCAGACACACAACACAGATATGCAAAGAATGAATTCTATACATGACTTCTTAATTAATTGAAAACTCGCTTCGTTTCGCTACAGCTGTTTACGATAATAGGATTCGAGAAAGCTTCTTCTGTTCAAATCTGTTCACTACATCTTCCTTGTAACTAGCTAATAATGTCTAAGTAGTTTGTTTATCGAAATAATTTATTCGTCACATAATATTAATCTTTTTCCTCGGATGCATTTTTTCCAATTTTTTTTTAGTTTATATCCCAAGACATGACCGTGGGCTGATTGTGTCATCAACCTTATATGGACATTAAAAGGCTAGATTCTTTAAGAATCGATCGTACTTAGTATTAAAAGGCATAACGCCGAGTTAATTTGATTCCATAGAAAGTGCTAGGAGTACATTTTGAAACTGCCATGCATGCATGCCCATAGCTGGAAAACTCTTTCTCGCTTATTTTAAATTTTTGAGCATGTAGAAAGTTGTATCCTTACAAAGCAATGCCATGCACCTTTTTTGAAGCCCTTTTCTCGTGCCCGATAGCCAATACATTTCTTGGTAGGCTGGTCTTCAGAATATGGAATTCAGTCCAAATACATCATTTCAACAAGTTATGTCGATGAGGAGGTTAGGCGTGGGCTTACAGCCCCGGTGGTGCACGTTATGTCAAGACATCAACATTTTCAATGCACATAACATTTGTAAATATCGTGATTTACTTGCGGATGATTGGTGCGGAACTGATCCCTAAAGCTAAACTGTAGCCAAGTGATCACAGAAATAAAACCCCAAAAAAAAGGTCTAAAAAAAAAGTTCTAGCACGGCTTGCACCTGTCCCTCCAGAGCACCGGCTATAAGCGCATTAGTTCATCATCTACTGGTAACCATCCCATCTACATTACATGCACATGTGCAGCGGGCTTCGTTAGAAGAGTACCAGCGGACCAATTTGTGTTCTATTTATCTCTCAACGCTGGCCAGAAACAGCTGATCAAAATGACATCTGAGACGAAAAGAAAGGTACAAACACTAGGTTGTTTCAAAGAAACAAATAATTTTTCACGGATGAGTTATTTCAACATTATAGACATGTTGAAATCAATACCGGGATAACACTGGCAGGTTATAATCTAACAAAGAAATCTTAATAGGAGACGCGAATTTGTTTTGTCAACAAAACCTCAAAATTAACTTTAGGAAGGAGAAACACATGGTTCCTTTAGCGTGCAATAGCTGATTTTAATTCCTACTTTGAAGAGAACAATACGACGTTAAAAGCGGCGGGTTTCTTGTTTGAGGCAACTAAGCAGTGATTCGAGGCCAACAATCTCAATAGAAGTACCTGTTTTAAAATTTTTTTTAGCCATAAATAAGATAATGTTAAGACCGTCTGTCTTTTCTCAATTCATAAGTAACAAATTGAAATGTTATTGCATTATTATTATCATTATTATTATTATTATTATTATTATTATTATTATTATTATTATTAACACTTTGAGTGGTATTGAGTCAATAAATACTGACGGAAATGACAACAAAACAGTCTGCACAACCACGTGAGGGTGCGAGCGGGCCAAATTTTAGCCCGCAAAATGCGCCGCAATGCCTGAAAAAGTGATAGCGATATTTATTTTTCAACAAAATCTTTTTGACGCTCCATATTTTCGAAAGGAAAGCAAATGTTAATCGAGTGTCCTATCCTTTTACATGGCTACTGTTTTGTCTGAATTGAGTCCTTAATGAATAGAAACACCCGCCAATTACGATTCGTGGAGGGAGGGGTGGGGGAAAAACGATCTCCTATCTCCGCGTCAAATGCATGTATTACATTAAGGCATAATTAAGAAACATGGTCACTCTTTAGGGTTTTCTGAGTAAAATCTTCCTGTAACACTTTTGTTTTAGGTTTTCCACCCAATTTCAGCGACAGTTCTCCTTATGGCTTTTTTTCTGGTGCTTGCATCTTCGACAAACGACAAAAAATCAAAAAAGGTATATATCTCGAAAAGTTATTGAATTCGAATTTTACATAAGAATACAACAGATCAAACGAAATGAAATCTGGGTCGTGAATCATTCCAAGAGAACGAAATGGAGAGACTAATGAAGGTCATGTAGCGGGAACATGTTGCTGGGAGATATTTCGAAAACATTATGGGCAGGTCTGGTCTCGGGCGGGAATATTTTGGACCCGTAACATACTGCCTTCCTACAATGTAACACAGCGGTCAAACGTTTGTGCATGTGCCAACGTTGTAATGGCTTGGAAATTTCGCGCGGGAAACTGGCGCGCGGCCGGCCAAAATTGATCCCCCTTGCGCATGCCCTATGTTTAACCACTGTGTTTACGATGTATGCCACACCACTCACCGACCAAGATATGTTAATCATCATTATCTTTTAGGAAGAAAGTGAGGCAGAGCTTGAGCACAAAGCCCGGGTTTGGATTGATGCTCTACTGGATCATATAGAAGAAAAACACACACAAGAAACTGAGAAAGACTTTCAGAAAATTCTTGATAAAGGCAAAGAAATCGTGATCGAATAAGAGGGTTGATAATTCAAGACGAACCCAGGGCCAGCTATCAGGGACCAATAATTATTTATAGCCGGGG